TTTACAGCATTGGATTTTCTCTAGATTTCACATTTGGCGATTTTCTTATTTTGGTGTAACTCTAAAACAAATGACCGCAGATTCTTGAAATTTTTACTGAATTTTTATATATGCATTTTCTATATATGATAAAATTTTCAAAACATTTAGATTTGTTTTGAGATGTTTACTGACATTTTAATTTTTCAACTTTTTTAGTTTTTTTTTCTATAGATATCGATAAAAATTTATTTGTTGGTTAGAAAACTTGAAAATTTAATACAAGGCTTCTAACACATTGTAATAATAGCAGTTGAAAAATATTAAACATAAATAGGACTGATTATTTTTTATAAGCATTTATAGTTCAAATTTTGACTAAATACGTAAAAATTACGGCAAAGTTCAAATTATCTTAGATAGAAATTCATAAAAAAATTTCTTTTTAAATCTAAGATTTGAAATTTTTTAATAATCTATAATATATCCTAGACAGATAAACCGTCTCCGCTCAGAATCGTTTTTCGTATACAATGATATAATAATATTGGATTCAAATTTAATTCCATCCATTACACTATTACAGTAACCCACTTGTAACCTACTTGTCCTACTGTACAGCAGAGCGACATCCACGACTTATCCGCTTTTTTTTTTAATTTACAAATTAAACAAAATTAATAACTTTAATATTTACTGAAAAAATGTCTAAGGAATTTTCCAAACTTAATATACATTGTTTTAGATTTTTTGATATAGGTACACAAAATAACGTTTATCGTAATCGATTATCTATCCTATCTTTATTTCAGTTATTATTTAGTGCTAAAAAAGATATGCAAAATAATATTTAATAACCATTAAATACATAGTSGTCATTATGGGGTAATGAGGGGTAGAAATTGCTACCGTACCATTTTTATAGGAGTAGCAAATTGATTGTTATGCTACCCTACAAACCAGTATAAAGTACAAGACATTTTTGAAAAAATACAATTTTCTTGTCTTTTTTCTTCAGAAAATCACTACATGTATAATATTTTTATATTATTACTTTAAAAAAAAATCTATTTCTATGACAAAAAAAAAATAGTGATAACTAATTTATTGATTAATTAGTTTAATGTTGTCTTAATTAATTTAATGTTGAAAAGTTTTTTTTAGATTTCACACTGGTTCATGAGGGAGAGGGGAGGGCTAAAGCACAGTAGCTCTCCCACCTCAGAGTTTCTACTGTTGCTACCCCATGACTTTACTCCAAATGAGACCCCTGATTAAATATGTAGAAATATGCATTAGATTCAAACTATTATGATTCGTGAAGATATCGAAAAAAATCCAAAATAAAGAAAAGGATAAAAATATGTGGTTGTATAGAAATCCATGCTCTAATATTATAATTCATTATTCTGTAAGCATTTCAGAATTGCATATTTGCTATGTTTTTATATTATTAGTTATATTTTCAAATTAAATAAAAATATTTAAAATGTGATTTAAGATTAACATTAGACTAAGGACTAAGACAGAGGACATGCCACGTCATACAGTAAAAAAAAAGAACAAATTATACAAGCACTTAAAAACACTAAAATATGATATAAGAATAAGCTCTATAATTTTTTTTTCTAACGGCCTATTAAGTAAATATTAAAAATAAATAAAAAACATTTTAAATAAGAATTACCTTTYATAACCATTAAATAAATTAATATATCTTTAATAGACACATCTTTAACAGTTTATACTTCAAATAATAAAATGGCTTAGGAATTGATTATCGTTTAAATAATGTTGAAATGTTACAAAAAAGAAAATATTTTCTGAAAATCAAAGCTTTAGTTCTATAACCTTCAATAGTATGTCAAAAAAATCAATATTATTAATACCTATGTCTAAAAATGTATCATAAAATTACAGATTTGGATTTTTGACGATAAATAAATATGCAAATGCCTAGTTACGACTTTATGGATAACATTTTTAAATGATAAATACAGAAGACATCATAGAAGAAATAAGTTTGTTCAACATTTGTCTTGCTTAAGMATTATTAGAGCATTATGTAGTATTAAAGTATTTAATATATTTTATTATGTGCACAAAAATGCGTGGTACCTATTGAGCATGTTTCTGAATTTCTGTCTATTTAATACTTAAATATTCGCCCATACTTCATGTACACTTCAATATAATATTATAGCATATTAAATTACAAGAAAATTAAAGTTGATTACGATAAAGTGTTGTGTTTATATGTAAAGTTATTTGTACCTAACAGGAAAAAATATAATAATTCTTAAAAATTTAAGTTTTCAGTGAAACATCTTAAGAATTAGTAGTATTAATATTTTATAACTCGCTATTAAGTATTGAATATTTTTCACTTTTTCAGTGTCAATACAAAAATTAAATTAATCGGAAAAAAAAGCAAAAAATGACTGCGATGGCCGGGAATCGAACCCGGATCAACTGCTTGGAAGGCAACTATGCTGACCATTACAYCACCATCGCAAGATGAAAGTGATTATAAAAGATTCTATATATAAATAGATATCACGATTGTGTTTWCCATGTTTTTATTTTCAAAATGCATGATAACAGTAAAGGCGTGTTTATCACGGAATCCGTTATGGCGTTATTCAATATTCCAATAGACGTTCACGTTTGATCACTGACAGTAGACCGTAGTACAGTACCATTCATTTTCATTAATCATTATTATATTTTAGCATATTCGTCGGTTAAAAATGTTAATCCGATTTTTGAAAACCGCGTAAGACTTATTTGATTATTTGTACGGAAGTATTTTTAATTCAAGATGACTGCAAACCGGGGACCCGCACATTCATCGTCTTCGG